TGAATCTTCCAGAAATAGGTACGGCCTGACCAGAGCTCTATCTAAAGTGAGTTTGACGACACCCCTTCATTTTGTACGTGGTTGATGTTTTACGTGCCAATATGCATTGTCTTCAATTTACATCATCTGTCAGTCACTTCAGAACCATTTGCTGAACTTACAAATTACATACAGTTCATCTGTGACCAGGGCTCTGTTTCTGTCTCCTCGTCCTCGATCTCACTGCCACGTTTGACACTGTTGACCACTCTACTCTTCTTCACTGTCACTCCTCTCAGCTCCACCTTCACAGTTCTGTCCTCCCGTACTCTCTTACTCTCGCTTCTCCCCCTGGTTCACCACCCACCTCCGCTCACTGAAGAGCCAGGTACGGGCCGCTGAACGCACCTGCCTCAAATCTGGCCTAACTGTCCACCGACAAATCTGGCTGGACCTCCTCAAAATCTACCGCTCCACTCTAGCCTCGGCCAAGTCGTCCTTCTACTCCAGGATAATCCTGGAGGCGAAGATCAACCCCAGGCTTCTTCTGTTCTCTACCACATCCTGACTCCTCGTTCCCCCCGCCACCCCGCGCAGGTCATCTCTTCCAACCTTCACTGCGAGGAGATGCTGGATTTCCTTGAATCCAAAATCAAGGGAATCCGCTCCGCGGTCACTTCCCCTCCAACTTCCACCCAACCCCCACCCCTTCCCTCCCACACTCCGACTCCTACCCATCCTCCCCTGCACACCTTCGAACCCGTTTCCCCACCCTCTGTCACCAACCTCACCCTGTCCCTGAAACCCACCACCTGCTCCCTGGACCCCATCCCCACTCCACATCTCCCAGCTCCACCTCCTTGCCCCACTTCTCACAGACATCATCAACCTGTCCCTCTCCTCTGGCTCTGTTCCCATTCCCTTAAAAACTGCCACCATCACTCCCACTTTGAAAAAACCCTCCCTTGATGCGTCGCAGCTATCAAGCTACCGACCCATCTCCAAACTCCCCTTCCTGTCCAAGGTCCTTGAAAGAGTGGTCGCCTCCCAGCTGCGCTCTTTCCTCTCCACCCATTCATTATTTGAACTCCTTCAGTCGGGTTTCCGTGCTGCCCATAGCACAGAAACTGCCCTGGTCAAGGTCACCAATGACATCCTGACCATCTGCGACCAGGGCTCCCTCTGCCTCCTGGTCCTCCTCGACTTATCGGCCGCATTCGATACGGTCGACCACTCTATCCTCCTCCACTGCTTGTACTCCCACCTCAACCTTCAAGGCCCTGTCCTTGAGTGGTTTAGGTCGTACCTCTCCCACCGTCTTCATTTTGTCTCTGCAAACGGCTTTTCCTCCGGCCCCCACACTGTCTCGTGCGGCGTCCCTCAGGGATCTGTCCTCGGTTCCCTCCTCTTCACCCTCTATATGCTCCCCCTTGGTGACATCATCCGCAGACATGGGGTTAACTTCCACATGTATGCGGATGACACCCAACTCTACCTTTCCTCCTCTACCCTCAACTCCACGACCACCGATGTCCTGACAGCCTGCCTGTCCGACATCGAGTCCTGGACGAGAGACAACTTTCTTCAGCTCAACGTGCGCAAAACTGAGGCCCTCCTGATTGGCTCACGTCAGCGCCTCCGCACCTCAGGCGCTGACAGCATCAGCATCCAAGGCTGCACTCTCCACCTCTCAAAGCCAGTCAGGAACCTCGGGGTTCTGTTCGACCCTGAGCTGTCCTTTCTCCCTCATATCCGCGCCACAACTGGCACCGCCTTCCACCACCTCCGGAACATCGCCAGACTACGGCACTACCTCACCCCTCACGCTGCTGAAACTCTGGTCCACGCCTTTATCACCTCAAGGCTGGACTATGGGAACTCTCTCCTCGCCGGCCTTCCCGGCACCTCCCTCCACAAGCTGCAGGTCATTCAGAACTCTGCAGCTCGTGTACTGTCCCGCACCAGGCTTCGGGACCACATCACTCCCACCCTCGCTCGCCTCCACTGGCTCCCCATCCCCCAGAGGATCGAATTCAAGATCCTCATCCTCACCTACAAGGCCATTCACGGCCTTGCTCCCTCCTACCTCTCCGACCTACTATCCCCCTACTTACCTGCCCGTACCCTCCGTTCCTCTGGCTCCGGTCTGCTCCACATCCCCCGCCCCAACCGCCCTACCATCGGTGGCCGGGCCTTCAGCCTCTAGGCTCTGGAGCTCCACCCCCCAGTGCCTTCGCCGCTTCCTCCCTTTCCTCCTTCAAGGCCGGTCTCATCTATCCTTTCATTATGTCCAATATACTAACTCCCTGCTCGCCGGATTTCCCAATCTTCCCTCCACAATCTGCAGATTATTTAGAATCTCTGCTGCTCGTGTCCTCTCCAGCACCAAACTCCATGAGCCGATCACCCCCATTCTCGTCTGGCTTTACTGGTTCCCCATTCCCCAGAAGATAGAGTTTAAGATCCTCGTCCTCACTTTTAAAACTCTTCTTGCTCCTTTTTACCTCTGCAACCTGCAAAAACTTTACCAAAAGTTGCTGCTCGATGGACGCTGGTCTACTCCATGTCTCCCCCAACTTACCCCTCCCACCATCAGGCCTTCAGCTTCTCTGCCACCACCCTCTGGAACTCCATCTATCTGATCGCCTTGCCCCCTCCTTTATTTTGTTCAAGACCAGTCTCAAGATCTTCCTCTTTGACAATGTCTGTGGTCATCCGTGCACCTCCATCCTGCTTACTATCCACCCCTGAAGATCCGACAACCGATGGTGGGGCAGGGAGGCTGCGGGACATGGAGCAGACCAGTGTCTAACGAGCAGAGGGAGCAGATAGATTGGTACGGTTTTAGCTGGTCAACAGAGGTGGTTTGGGAGGGCAGGGGCTTTTCTGGGTGTATTAATTCCTTAAAGAAATAATAATTTGGTAACGTAATCCACGACTGTTCATGGAATACTATTGTGCGTAATTGGCTGCCGTGTTTCATCCACAAAACATAGTCAATTCACTTTACAGTATATTCTGTGAAGTGCTTTGAGACGTCTTGAAGATGTGATAAGGCGCTATACCAAATGGAAAGATTATAATTATTATGGAGCCAGTGGAGCGAGGCACCATGGAGCCTGGTGTGGAAGAGTACATGAGCTGCAGAGTTCTGAATAATAGCTGCTAGTTGAACTAGAGCAGTATCCCAAGGTACACTCTGGAGACCCAAAGTCTTGACTCTCACCAACATGCGCAGAAGACTCTCTGGAATTAAGTAAGCAGGACGTGTCCCTCCAGGAAAAGAATATGCATTCCTTGGAGGAACACACCCTGCTTACTTAATTCCAGAGATGTGAAATTCCATGTGCAAGTGTCAAGCATGGGCTTCCTTCTGATTTGGATACTCACGGGTTTCGACATGCATCAGTCATCCAACTGAACAAAAAATAGGGTTTCCTCTAACATTAAAGAGTTACCGAGAATAACAATCATGCTCTGCTTAGAATAATTTCTGCATTCGAGAAAGTGAACTGAGGGCAGGAGATTGAAGCTGTTTAGTGTTGACACTCAATACTCTATGGCTCTCTCCTTACAACCAGGCAGATATCAGCATAGCTAGTAATAGTAGAGGAGATTCCTGCCATTGTCTTGCCAGAATGTCTGAAGATCTGCAACTAATTATGTTGCAGGAGACTGTGCAGAGAGCAAATGTGGAAGCTTCAGCTATTTTGACCTTACAAAGTGCAGAGATCCAATGCACCCAGTTCAAATTGAAGGAATTATGAAGTCTCCTCTCTGAGGTCTGCAGGGATCTTGTGTGAAATAAATCTGGGAATTCTCAATCTATTTTATTACAGTTTTTGAAGGTACAACTTGCCACAGAAAGTAAGCTAATATCCCAGAAAATGTTTCAGCCATTCTTTTTAAAAAATATTCAGAGTGGCTAGAACCATAATAAATTATTGAAATCAGAAGGGTGTGTTTGTTGTTTTCTATGACTGACTGGGTGGTCACCAGTATTACTTTATTCCTTATATCCTTTAATTACAGAACATTACCTCAACTCTATATAATTCAGCTCTAGGCTGACAAGGCAACAAACAATGATTTCCAATTACATAACTGCCTTCATATAAGATAATGTCTCAGAGTGCTTCACAGGCAGAGTTGGTCAAAGGAATAGGCTTTAAGGTGGAATGATGCAGTGGTTGGGGAGGGAGAGCATTGCATTATCTGACTTGCCATCCTTTGGATGAGACATTAAACCGAACTTCCATCTGCAAGTTCAGACAGATGTTAATAATCCCATGGCACTGTTCATACATATTTTTTTCTTTGTATCCTGGCCAAAAATGCACCAAATAAAATTGGTCATTCACTCATGGTTGATTGTGGGACATTGCTGTGCACAAATTTGCCACTGCACTCACCTACAAATACAGTAACTACACTTTACTATAAAATCCTGTGAAACTCTTTGAGATGTTCTGACAACATGACATCATCCGCAGACATGGGGTCAACTTCCACATGTATGCGTATGACACCGAACTCTACCTCTCTGCCTCCACTCTTGACTCTAGGACCACTGCTGTCCTGACAGAATGTCTGTCAGACATCAAGTTCTGGATGAGAGCTAACTTTCTTCAGTTGAACATCAACAAGACCGAGGCTCTCCTGATTGGCTCCCGCCAGCGTCTCCTCACCCCAGGCGCTGACAGTATCACCATCCATGGATGTACACTCAACCTTGCTAAGCCAGTCCGGAACCTTGGGGTCTTGTTTGATCCTCAACATAAATGTAAAATAAAACCTTGAAAATTCTGTTCTTTTCATTGAAATTGATCTGAAAATACCCAGCTATCAAGACAGTAATCTTATTTCACCAAGACAGTTACCATTAGCAAATTACAGTATAAGCTCCAGGTACGCATTCAATAAAACAACAAGGTTTTGGTGAAAAAAAAGCATGCACAAGTTTTTTTGTTGGGAATAAGGGGAGGAAGAGAGGATAAAATACATAACAGAACTGAACTTACTGTGTTAGCTAATTCCAGGTAACTACCCCCCATTGGAGTACTTAAGTTAGAAGCTCGAGCTAAAAGTTTTTGCAGAGCAGTTTGCTGATCCAGGTTGCCTCCACCATACTCAAATAGTTTCTGAAGAGTAGGGTGGGATTGCAGGTCTGGACTTTGAAGATCCCGAGCTCCAGAATCATATTCCCAGCTCTCCCTGGCTCCTGTCAATGCACCTGAAATGAATTCGAAAATTTAGAGGTCAATTGTGGTACTGGATATTGCACTACTTATTTATACTTGCATTTGATACAGCACATTTCATGTGGGGAAGAGATCTCAAAACACTTTACAGCATTTACTGCGAATTATCCCACATTGGTACTTGGAATTAAGTTTCATTTAGATGAAGCTAGAATAACCATTCTTCTGCATTTCAAAATTCTGTCTTTGTGATCTGGATATGAGACATCCACTCTACCACAATAACATGCAGCTGTCCCTTTCCTTCTTGTAGCAATCAGTTAGTTTCACTGAAGTGTCTGGTGCTTCCTTTTCGGGGAATGGGGGGGGATACATTTATTTTGGAATCATTGCTATTGCCCAACAGTTTCCTTGATTAAATTCTTAGGCGCTGATTCCTCATCCTATTTTGTGTTCACTATTCACCTTGAAAAGAAGATTTATCCAGGTTGCCTTCACTTGGAGATGCACTATTTTGCCGTCCTTTCTCATTCTCTTCCACAATTACAATGGAGGATTCATTGTTGGAGTCTCCAGTTGATGTTAGATCTTGCAATACAGAAGGTCCAGCAGCATCTGTTAAAACAAGGATAACAATCAGAAAATTTAACTGTGATAAGACAATTGACATTGAACTAACCACATACTGTTTGATTGACTAAATCTGCATAGTTTGAATAAGCATCAACATGTGCTTCTGCAATATCATAAATTATACACAAAGAATACACATGAGGTATATTGCTTTTAACCTTCAAACCACTTTATTTCAAATAACACTATATACAAATTGTGCTTTAATGATTGTACCTTAAACATCAAAAACTTTTTAATAATTGAAATAAAAACCTAAACAACCCATCAATATAAAGATGGCAACACAATATAAAGCACAAAGACTGCTCTCTCCTTACTCTGTGGATAAACTAAAGTAATATGCAATGTGGTTTTCAGGGTGATATACATTTAAAATGGTAAGAAACAAAGGCACCCAAACAGGCGATACATAAATCTGAAGAAACAAATTACATCATAGCTGCCGTTGAAACCTGAGTAGATTTTTACAGTAACTCTCACCTGCCCTGCAACTCTTACCCCACCCCCACCCATGGGAACAACCTTATAAATTGGGCTAATTTCACAGATGGGTTAATAATCCTGTGTTTTTCAAGACTACAATAGAGGTGCAATGCATCAGTTTTCCTAACGACAGGGATTGTCTCCGGAGTGCTGCTAACAGAAGCCTCGTTCTTCACCTACAAACTTTTAATCATACACAAGAAATAATAATAATAATTGCATTTGATATAGTGCCTTCTCGCGTCATTAAGGTGCTTCAAAGTGCTTCACGGAATACATTGTAAAGTGTATTGACTGGTGTTTTTTGTGGCCGAAATGTGGCAGCCAATTGCACACAGCAGTGCCCCACAAACAGTCGTGGACTGAGTGATCCTTTTTTGAAGGGATTATTAGACCGGAAAGCAATCCACCAATTGACTAACAACCAAGTTCCTACTTACTACTAGGAAAACAGAAGTGTGTGAAGTAAGGAAACTTGCCCAAGGTTTCACCCTACCTGGGAATCAAGCCTGGGTCCTCTCTCTTGCAAGGCAAGTACACTAACCACTATGTGACCAAGTAAACTACCCTATTCCAAATTGGAGGGGCCCTGGAAAGGGGGTGAACATAAATCATGCTTTATGTTTCTATAACCCACACCAATAAATTTAATAATTTCAATTTATTCACAGCTGAATATTTTTGCAATGTAGTAGTAGGATAATATTACCCAAATGTATTGACTGAATGGCCTTTTTTCCTTCTAGATTTCATAAGTGTTTGCATCAGCTGACTGGAATATGCACAATACGTTTGCTTACAACAACAAAATTACATTTGTATCGGGCCTTTCACGTCAGGAAGACGTCCCAAAGCACTGGACAATCAGTGTTTCGGACTGATGTGTCATTCCCTATTCAGGAAAATAGCCTAAGGTTTCGCCCTGCCGGGGAATCGAACCTTATATAAGAGACATTCCATAATTTGTTTACAATGTCATGGAGACTTGCTATTGCATCTTCCAACACCACCTAGTTCTTTCAACATTTATATAGTAATTTGTTCAAAATCCTACAGCTGGCATTGCTCCAAATCAAATGAAGACATCCTGGATGAATCTTTTCTGATTTTTAAACCAAAAATCAGCCTTAACAATTGAATAATCACATAGCACTTGCTAATCCTTATAAAATCACCTTATAAATTCAGAATAAAATGAACCCCCAGGATTTTTTGAAAAGACCAGACAATTCATGAACAGATTTATATTGAGCCTTGCTCATTGGGAGGATGTCCCAAGGTGCTGGGACAGCCAGAAACTGTATCAAGGTCAAGAAAATTAGCATATAATGAAAAGGTATGAAACATGGAAAGAAAACATATATCAGACATCGTATTTACAATGATGGTGGGTTTACGACTTTTCTACTTTGTTTGTCTCAATGCTGAGCATCAAAAAAAAGAACCATAGTGCTTCTTGTAGTTTAGGTGATAAGACATTACTGTGCTACAATCCTGAGGTGGGGTGGCGGGGGGGGGGGGGGGGTAGAGAAAGAGCAAGTGAGTAGTGTCTCCTTGGGGCAAGAGGTAGTAGGCAGTGTCTCCTTAAAGCTGAGCAACATGTTTGGAATTGATTCAATTCTCTGTAGCAGGTTAGGAAGTCTGCTTCCCAAGTAAGATGGGACTGCTGCTCTTCAGGGCCTGCTGATGGGTCCAGTCTGTCTGGATCGTTGGTAGAAATGTAGGAACAGACTGCCAAATCCCTGGTTAGGATAGTCCTCGTTAGACAAGCAATGGGAGATTTACACAACGCTCTCAACGGCAAGCTAAGGTTTTAGCTAAACTCCAGCAGTTACTCACACGCAACGTACACCTAAGTCTCCAAGCCTTGGCTCTTACCAACCAGCTCCTAAAATTCCCTGAAATTTTCCAAAACACTGACTGTCCAGCACCTTGGGATGTCCTCCTGAACGTGAAAGGCGCTATACAAATGTAATTTTGTTGTTGTTGTTGAAATTAGGCAAGCAGGATGGGTCCAGAATGACATCCCATTCTAGGCACAAGGAACATTGATTAGGCAGCGCATATGTGGAACTCTGTCTGGTTTGGATACTTCTTATGTATTGTGATAGGTTTAGCCAGTGTCTGACACCCAGCTGACCAGAGAAAATTAATGCAGAGTAATAAATCTGCTGACATAATCACAATCTTAAATTGAAGATTTGTAGTCAATGACCAAAACAAAGTCAGTAAATACTGTCACATCCACAAACAAATTTAAGAACCTAAAGCACAATGTAGTGGATGCTATGTCACACGAATAAAGCAACCAATCAATGATATGTGACTTGAGAATATATAAGACTAATGTAAACTTCCTTTCATATTGAATCATCAAATTTTATGAAGTTTTTACTAAATTAAAAATTCACTTTCTTCATTACATCATTTACATACCAAGACTGTTGTCACTGCTGGTTGGCCACGAAGCTATTCTATCCCGTAATTTTCTTTTCTTGCAAGAGTCATCTGACTTTACTGAAAGTTCCCCTTCCTCTTTTCTTATTTCAGACACCAGCTGCATTCGACATCGTGTAAAATCCTCAAAGGAGATTTTCCCATTCTCATCTGCTCCCAATTGATGCATGATTTCAGCTACAGATTCCTCCATGTTTAATTGGCGACACACCATGAGCAAATCATTCCTGAAGAAAAAGAAATGTCATCACAAAAGTAAGCATCAAATCACCTCTTTCATATTTTAATTTCGTACATTTTGCAAATTTTAAATATTACCTTACAACCATGTGGTAACCAAGAATGAGTGAATACAGCTACCAAGAAAGACTGGATAGGTTAGCGTTTTTTTTCTTATAAGACGACTGAGAAAAAAAACTTGATAAAGGTGTTTAAAATTATGAAAGGATTCGAGAAGTGAGTCTAAAACAAGGAGCATAAATATGAAATAACTACTAGCAGATCTAAAAGAAAGTTTAAGAGGAACTTGTTTACACAGTGAGTCGTGAGAATTTGGAATTCCCTGTCCAGAAAGCGATGGTTGAAGCAGAAATCGTTAAAGCGATTAAGACGAAAAGCAATGTATACTTGCAAGAAGGAAACGGATAATAGGGAGAGGGAATTAGGAAGGGTGAAGACTGATCGGCACAGACTAATAGGACCAAATGTAATTCTATGCAACATTTACTGTAATCTATCAATCATTTTTGCCTAAAACTGCTCATATTTCATTATACGTTTTGAAAATCAACTTTGATGACCTGTGTTTAAATTCACAAACTACAACAATGAATCAGAATAAAGCCCAATTCATAGAAAGGATATACTGTATTATTTCATGGGTTTGTTCGGCTTTGGAACTGGCCCCAAGCCAACATCCACTCCCAACAAAACTAGTTTTAGTGCCAAATTCAACAATTGAACTCAATCCATTCAAGCACTCAAATGATTCATTGCTATCAGAAGCAAATGCAGTTTTTCAGATTCTGTTCAACATTAAATATTAAAAAGATGAAATTACGCTATGTACAATTCTGTTTTGTTTGGTTAACAATTTTCTCAAATCGTAAAGTGGACATTATTTTCTTTGACAAAGGTTTCTCATTCTGCGTGAACATACAGTATTTAAATGATACCCAAAGGTCATATTCTCCTATATGCACAAGAGGAATTTGGTCATTGTGTGGTATCTGTATTGTTGGAGCAGGGAAAGAAAATCTTCAGTTGCTGGCCTTATGCACGGAGCCATCATCTTTGTAGAAATGCAAGAATTGTGAATGTTTCAACCACAAACCGACCCAATCACTCACTCAACCTCACTACATAGCTGTTTGTGGGACATTGCTGTGGGGATAAGGAATAAATTTCGATCAGTAATTAGATAACCTGAGTCTCTTCAGCCTTGAAAAGATACAGCGCTCTGAGACACCCCCTGGTGTGGAGGGCGCTATATAAGTGCAAGTTGCTGTTGTTGTCTCATATATATTTTTTGCCCACAAATATATAGTCAATCCATTTTACAGTTTCTCCTGGGAAGTGTTTTGAAGTGTCTCAATGAAGTGATAATGCACTATATCAAATGCAAGGATTATTATTAATTACAATAGTGGTTTAGGTCCATAAAATTATGGACATAATTTAATTTTCATAAATGGATCTTCTACACCAAGTATAAATGGTTTTAAATAAATCTTTTCTAAACATGCTGCATATTTTGCTAAATGCGCACAGCAGTGCGGCCAGCCTCCAGCGAGTGCCCGCACCAGTCACAGGGTTAGGGCGGGAGGCCTCCACGATACAGGACTGTTATCTGGTCAATCTTACCCTATAAGAACTTACAAGAACTTCTAGAATGCGACAAGCTACGTGTTAAATGGAGTAATAGGTAACACAACATCTCTTATTAATGTTTTGCATGGGTAGCAGCTGGGAGGTTGACAGGATGGTGACTTAAATGATAATGACAAGTTGTTCCAGGGGCAAGTTATCAGTTTACTGTACTTGCATGTTCAACAAACATCTATTTGCATTTGACAAGTGTTCAAATGACTTGATACAATGTTAAAATTAAAATTAAAAATTTGCTTTTTTAAAAAAGCTGAAATTATTGAAAAACAAACATCCTCATCAATCTACAGTTTTTGGAGCAAAGCAAGATTTTTTCTCATGCAAGACATAAGTATAATACAGGACCAATATGCTTGATAAATCTTCAAAACAAGTCTTGCTTTGCTCTTCCCATCAACCCAGCAGTTGCAGAATAACTAGTTATTATAAATAACAGATAACTTATCTTAAAATATATTACCTTGAAATAATATCTGTATAGGACGTAATTTTTCAAATTACCCCATGTCCTACACAGATATTTTACCTTAAAATAGTCAACTTCTCAATTAAAAGAACAATAAAAGCATCAGCATAAAGCTGCTGTAACTATAATCTATAAAATTCATTTATTGGAGGGTCTGAAGACAGAGCAAAGCATTGCACCCAAGCAGCATAGCTGTCCTTTTTAAAAGTCAACCATCAACATCTTAAAATTTAATAAATTCCAGTGTTAAACTGAATATCAACTACTAAAATTTGCACATATGCATAGCTACCAATAATGCAATAGTCCAACCCCAATAAGATTACATAAAGGTAGATCAGGTCTCACAACAGTTGACAAACACGCAACAATGTCCCACAAACAGCCAGGAGGTGAAAAGCAATCTATTTGAAAATAAAACCTAGAATGGGCCACATATAAAACCTAGATAAGTGTCCAGTAAACTCTTGATAGCTCATCACTCCAAGGGAAAAAGGCTGTGACAAGTTTTCCAGAGTGACAAGTTAGGCATATGTATAAATGTATATAAGTTGCTGGGATATTGCCAGCACGATGACTTAAGTGGTCATGATAAATTAAGCCAGGGTTGAGTTATCAGTTTACTGTACTGTGTCCAATTCTGGTCACCTCCCTCCAAAATGGAAAATGTACAGAGTAAGCCTACTAGAATGATACCAGGACTGGCAAGTTACTGCTATCACGATAGACAGGGTAGGTTAGTCCTTTTTCACTAGAGATGAGCCCATCGGCAACAGTGTTACTGAGTGTTGATGAGCTTCGAAAGGGGTATTCTTCATTCATAATAATGCTTCAGCTGCAGAACTTTCATCTGGTGGACGAAATAAAGTATTTTTTGCAATAAAAATGTTTAATGTCACTTTTAAAAGCAATTTAACTTTGAAAAACAAATTTTATTCTGCAGTTAAACAATTAAAGAACATTTTCAGACTTTTTGATCAGTACAAACCAAAAAGTTTTGGGGTTACGATTTGGTTTAATTAGCATAAAGTGTGCATTGTCTCCTTATCCACCACCTGGGAGAAAATACTTTTTGAGTTTTTATGCATTTACTAGGTTGATATTCAGTGATCATCTAACTGCTTTTGTTAAAATTACATGGGACAAATTACCATAAAGAGGAAATATCATTACAACAACTTGCATTCATATAGCACTCTTCACGCTAGTAGCATACTAAGTGCTTAAAAATGGCAGAGCTTGACGCCGAGTCAGGGAGAAAGGGGAGGTGATCGTAGGGATGGTCAAAGAGGATGCTCTTCAGGTGTAATCTAAAGACAGGCAAAGATGGGGCAAGGCAGAATTAAATCAAAAGAGTATCGTAATTTAGAAGCACAAGCAGTTTTTCTACAGACCAAGCAAGAAAAATACAAAGCGAGCAAATTAGACATTCACATTAAAATGAACCATAAGAATATATATTACAGTATATTGTGAACAATTTCATTATAACTGAATGTTGCGAAGAGGGGATAACCACATAACCCAACACAGTATAATGCTTTGATAAATTACCATAAAATGATTTATAAATCAACAAGTATGACAACAGTTTCTTTTCACATGCATCTTTCCTGGTTTGGCCATCTGCCCCACTTCATCATCTAAAAGTGGTACGAAAGCAAAATCATCTGGTATTGTAATGACTTGTTTGCATTGCTATCTATAATTCAGCACTAGCAACACAACACTACTGAATGCAACAAATCACATCTACTGACATGCCTATTATCTTCTTCCTCAATATCTTAAAATTCCAAAAAACAATGTAATCCCATAAGTGCACACCATGTTTATTTCTGTTGTAACATTAACAGAATACATTCAGTACTCCAACCCATATATAATAATAATAATCCTTGCATTTGATATAGCGCTTTTCACGTCGGGAGGACGTCCCAAAGCGCTTCACAGAACACACTGCAAAGTGAATTGACTGTATCAGTCATCTACTCTCATGACTTCTGTCCCTGCTTTCCCAAAATTGAATTATATTTGAATTATATATTATATACCTCTCTCCCTGTCCACCGGTTCAGTTCCCACCCACTAAAAACAGCTGTCATCACTCCCATCCTGAAAAAACCTTCCCTGGATCCATCCCTCCTCTCCAGCTACCTCCCCATCTCTAATCTTCCATTCCTCTCCAAGGTCCTGGAACGAATCATCGCGGCCCAGCTCCGCTCCTTTCTCTCCCGCCATTCTCTCTTTGAACCCATTCAATCCGGCTTCCGCGCTGCCCACAGCATGGAAACAGCGCTGGTGAAAGTCACTAATCACATTCTGAACATCTGTGATCAGGGCTCTCTCTGCCTCCTTGTCCTCCTCGATCTCTCTGCCGCCTTCGACACTGTCGACCACTCCATCCTCATACATCGCCTCTCCTCTTTACTCAATCTTCACGAATCTGCACTTGCCTGGTTTGATTCTTATCTCTCTCACCATCTCCACTTCGTTGCCTCTAACGGTTTCTCTTCCAGCCCCTGCACTGTCACATCTGGTGTCCCCCCAGGGCTCCGTCCTTGGCCCTCTCCTCTTTAATATATACATGCTCCCCCTCGGTGACATCATCCGCAGACATGGGGTCAACTTCCACATGTATACGGATGACACCCAACTCCATCTTTCTGCCTCCACCCTCAACTCCAGGACCACTGTTGCCTTGACATGAAGTCCTGGATAAGGGCAAATTTCCTATGGTTGAATGTGAACAGGACTGAGGCCCTCCTGATTGGCTCGCGCCAGCGCCTCAGCACCTCAGGCTCTGGCAGCATCAACCTCCATGGTTGCACACTACAACTCACCAGCCAGTCAGGAGCCTGGGTGTCTTGTTCG